GCCTTCTGACTCCTGGGCTGGGAAGCAAAGAGCACTTAGGCCATAGGCTGTCTTCCGGGATCTCACTGAGGGTAGTGAGTGATGACATTTTCAAAGAGAAAGGAGCCAGCCCAGAAACAGCAGGGCGAGACGGATGAGGGGTGGCAGGAGGGCAGTGGGCACGCTCGGAGCGCAAGGTGAGTCAGCCCCCTCCCTCCGCCCTGCATTTGCCAGTTCCACTGGGGGGAAGGGACCAAAGTAGTGCAGCCCTTCCAGGCTCGGGCTCTCAGCCAAGCGGCAGTCTGACCTTTCTGTAATGCTCCCTGTGTACTGGGGCAGAAAGGAAAACATCAGCCGGCAGCTTTTCTTTTTGAGGCTAATTTTGAGCTGAGGACTCCAGCACCCAGGAAACTCAAGCCAGCTCTATGCTCAAAGCAAGAAGGAGAGGCTAGGGCTTCATCCTGACATTACAGGGCCTCTGGACAAAGTCACAGCACAGAGTCTGCAAAAGGCCAGGGCCTCTGTCGGCAGCTGCCCAAACCCAAGGGCTCGCCTGTGGCCTGTAGAAGCAGCACCAGCCTCTGGGAGGGCACAGCAGGGCAAAGGAAGAGGATGCAAGCCTCCATGGGATGTAGCCCTGGCAGCCTAAGGGTTCAGGGCAAGTCCACCCACAACACCCCAGAAAGTGGTGAACAGGCGAGGCAGTGAGTGGTGACTGGTGAAGAACTGGAGGGGCACAGAGGAGGACGCCAGCCAGCCCGCCCCCCACCTTCCCGGCCAGGGCGGAGGATGGGTCCTCGGGAGGGCTCTGTGGGAGCGAGGAGACAGGGCGAGAGAGGCCAGGCTGCCTCCAAAGCATCATCCCTTCATGCTGCCCAGGTCTCACCTGTCCCCCAGGCCAGGGATGCCAACCAGCTGGATGATATAGATCCCTATTTGACAAAAAAATATGAAGAAGAACACGAAGAAGCTGAAAGAGTTGTCGGACCTGTGGAGAGAGGGGGAAATCCAAAGTCACAAGTGGGCTTGGGGTTCACTCCTCAGTATTCCTCGCTTGGCATGGCATGAGGAGCCAGGAGGGGAGCGCAGACAGAGCTCCAGGGGACCAAATGCACTGTCCAGAGGACACAGACATCCACAACCATAATCAAAGAGGGCTTGCCACTCACTGTCCTCGTTTGAGGGGTCAATGCTTGACCCCTTACTAAAAGAGCTAATAAAGTTGCTCCCCAGAGGACGACATAAAGAGCCTAACGGTCCATTTCCTGGGGTACGTATCTGCATTTCATAAGAGATAGATATAAATATCTAATAATAAAACCATTGGCCTGGGTGTAGAAAAGTTATTTGGGGAACACAGAACTCTAGACCAAAGCCCATCTCCACGTCCTCGAGGGCTGGCGTACTGCCTGCGGAGTGCATGGGTTTGGCCACTGCCCGCCCCCTCCCTGGGGCCTGCTAGGCTCCCAGGCCTGAAAGCAGCGACTCGGAGGCACAATGCCACAAACCCTAGGGCTCTGTGAGGTGGATCCGCTCAGGCCCACAGTATCTATTCTAGGTCAACCGGTCCGCACTCAGCAGGCTCGAGAGAGTTACTGGGGAGGCAGGAGAGAGGCGGAAACAAGCCAAGAGCGATAAACCATGGGGAACTTATCAAAGTGGACTCCCTGAAGCCTCAGAAGGGAGCTGAAGAAGCCCCGCCCTCTTCCCAGTGACTGAAATCCTACCGCATTAGATAGCATGGGAGCAGGTGGGAGCGCTAGGACCCCTCTCTAGGTCTCCAGTGCCTAGGCCAAGGACAGTGCCCAGAACAGACTGTGGGCACAACAACTCAGGAAAATGGCTCCTGACCCCCATCTGCTCCCACTGTGGGTGGGAATGGGAAAGTGGATTGCCCCACCATCCTGTTCTGCTCTAAGACTGGGATGGGGCCCCTGGGCGTTAAGGCCCTTGGCCTGCTACCTGGGATGCCAGCCATATACTCCCTGCCTTGCCCCAGCCCCACTCACCTGAAGGCCTTATAGATGGGTCGGTACCAACAAAGGAAGGCACAGGGGGTGAAGATGATAAACCACAGGATCGAAAGGCCAAAGTCCACTCCCTTGGTGCTGTCGACTAAGAACCAGGCCAGGCAGGCAAGCAGGTTCAGAAACAGAGTCACCGAATGCACTGGGGAGGGTGAGGAGAGAGACAGATGGGCTGGTGCCGAGGGGAGGGAAGGGCTCCCAGGCCTGGCAAACCACCCCCTGGAGAGGACGTGAGGTCCATACAGTGAGGGCAGTGGCAGAAACCCCAGTCCTTAGTCTGCACCAAGGCAGGGTGAGCTCCCCAATCCTGGTTTTCTGGGGCAGCAAAACCAGGGACCAAACCAGTTCCTAAGTGATAGTGATAGTTCCTAAGTGAGGGGACAGCCCAAGCATATGAAGGAGGGCAGGGGGTGGAGGTGGGGATGCAGACTCAAGGGCTGATCCCTGGGGAAGAAGTCTTTCTTTCAGTGACTCTTGTCCCTGGCCCTGGAGGGCCCACAGTGGAGCTATAGGGAGTCTTATATCCGGCTGCACTCCTAGGAGCCGAGGGGCCTGTGGGGAGGGAGGCCTTCACCTAAGGAGGGCCTTCACGGCCAATGAGCCCCACAGGAACTCTGACGCCTCGCGCTAGTCCCGCCCTACTCGATCCGTGGTGTGAACTGGGGTGAGCGGGCCCTTTCGGGGAGGTTCCCGGGGCAGGGAGTAGACCATGGAAGGCCAATCGTGTGGGCAGAAGCCCCCCCGCCTCCGCAACCCCGGCCCAGCGCTGAGGAAGGCTGGAGTCTGCGGTGAGGAGCAGCCCGAGCGGACAGGGCTCTGGACTCCCACCCCATTTTACCCCGGAGCTCAGGCGGCAGAAGTGGGACTCACACATCCAGAGATAGTAGAGCATCTTGCATATCCGCTGGTAGTCGGCAGGGATCTCTACTGAGAAATCCTGGTAGAAGCAGGGCTTGACGGGGCACCAGAAGGGCAGGGGTGGCCAGTTGTTCTCTCTCACTGTGTGCGCAAGAGGCCACGAGGTCAGGCTTGGCCTCTGCAGCAGCACGCGGAGTGCACGCTCCAGCAGTTTATGGGCCAAACCAGGGCTCCCAGAAGGGCACCGGCAAGTGAGAGTCAGGGTCGCCATGGGTAGGGAGTAGGACGGGCAAAGTGGGATGGGGCACAAATACCCACAAGCCCACTCCAAGATAATGGATCCCAAATACACTGGGAAACAGAGCAAAAGGGCCCTAGTGAGCTGGGAAGGAGTGCAGAAACAATCTACAGCAGCGAGGACCACGCTGCGGGCCTCCCGGCCTCCACCTCGCTGCTCTTCCGCCACTGGCACCAGCGCCACTGAGATGATCTAGAGCCCAACAGAGCTCCGGGGCTGCCCGGGACCAAGCAGGCTCAGGGAAGGCCCCTTCCCCAGGCACACTGGCCCACAGCCGGCAGTCTCCCTCACCGTGTAAGTTGGCCGCTGTGTTCTGCAGCTCCCGCTCCTTGCGCTCTAGCTCGGCTGCTTTCCTGTCCAGTTCTTCCTGCTGCCGGAGCAGGCTCGCCTGTGCTGCGGAGGCCACGGCCTGGGGGGCACGGAGCGTGGGGGCAGCCGGACGTGGGAGACGGGGATAGCGTCAGCCTGAGCAGGAGTCAGAAGGGCCTTGCCCCACACAGGGAGAGCCAATCCCAGCCCCACGGTGTCTTGGGTACCAGAGACCACCACAGGGACGCCAAGGGGGCCCGTCTCCTACTGCCTCGACACCTCTGTCCTCTTAGGTGTTAACCAGCAGGGCTGGTTTTAAGCAGGGCTCTTGTCTCCCCTTCCTCCCTGAGCTTGAGATGAGAGAACTATCTCCCATTCTGGAAGCCAGGCAAAGTTCAATTATAGTGACCTTTGGGGTAATAGCAAAGGGAAAATGGCCTCACGAGAGACTAACCTGTAACCAGAAACCCGGAGAGCTACACCTCACTTGAAGAGCCTGGAAGGTGGGGCGCCTGGGTGGCTCAGTTGGCTAAAGCGACTGCCTTCGGCTCAGGTCATGATCTCAGGGTCCTGGGATGGAGTCCCGCATCGGGCTCCCTGCTCAGCGAGGAGCCCGCTTCTCCCTCTGACCCTCCCCCCTCTCATGTTCTCTCTCTCTCGCTCTCTCATTCTCACTCTCTCAAATAAATAAATAAATCTTTAAAAAAAAAAGAAAAAAAGAGCCTGGAGGGTGTGCGAGGGGGACACAGTGGAAACCTGCTAGCAGTGAGTGCAGGGGAGGCACGCAGGGTGGACCAAGGTGCACCTAGGGCCTCAGGGATCGAAGCACCACCGCAGCCCACCCCCAGGAGCGGCCCCCTGACGTCCACCTGAACTGTGACCGGCTACATCCCAGGCCAGCCCCCTTGGCTTGGCCCTGCTCTGCCCGGCTTTGACGACGTGCAGAGTCCAAGCTTTATTCCCTGTCCAGGCAGAGCAAGGCCTCCGAGAGAGGCCTCCAGGGAGCTCCAGGTGAGGCACTCCAGCCCAGGCCCCGGGCCCCGCTCCTGACGGTGATACAGCCACTGGGGCCCGGCTCCTGCGAAGCCTACAGTCCTTAGGGAGCGGATATCAAATGAGTCATCCTGCAGGACGACAAGCCAGGCGATGGGCACGCGCGCACACCTACACACGCGCGCTCTCTCCCTTGCTCCGAAAGAGCTCTCCGAAGAGCTACGGCTGCCTTCGGAAAGTAAGTTTCAGGCCCCGGGGGCAAATGCAGGCCCAGAATTGACCCCGCTGGACCCCGCTGAGGGTCTTAGCCCTCCCTCCCAAGTCCGGTCAGACAGCGGGAGCAGCCTGGGGCCCACAAGAGTCCAAAGCCTGGCTCGGGCCTTGCCCTCACTCACGCTCATCTACACTTTGCCTACCTTCGGAAGCTTTCGCATGTAGCTGTCTCTGAGAATACTATCTCCTCCTAGTAGCATCTGCCTCTCTGAGAGCTCACTCACTGCCAGGAATCTGGTAGGCAGGAACTTGCTAGCCTGTCTAAGCAGGAGCTGCAACATAAAACTCCACTGTGGGCCACGCTCACCAGGGCGGCGGGCAGCACAGGACGGGGCGATGAGGTGACGGAGTACAGGGTCAGGACGAGGCAGACAAGATTCACAGTATTTGGTGAAGGGACAAAGGACAATAGGAAGGAAGGCAGGAATAAAAGAGGTGGAAAAAAGAAAAGTGAGAGAGAGAGAGAGATTCTGGGCCCCGAGTAAGAGAGAACAAACCAAAGGTTCCAGGAGGATCTGGAATGGCACAACAGGGGCAAATGCTCTCGCTGAAGACACCGAGGACTCCAGCCTGGTAAGCAGAGCTTATTTTTTGGTGGTAGTAGTGGGGTGGGGGTGAGGATCTAGGCTGGCTGAGCAGACTCTCCATGTGCAAGTGACCAGCTCCAAAGAGATGATCAAGAGGGCCCCTGAAGGGGAGCCAGGAATAAAGGCCCTCTGTCCACCCCCTCCCCTAATCTCAGGGCTCAGCTACTGGTCTGGGTGCTTCCCTTGCAGGAAAGGAGAGGCTAAAGGGATCTTTGTCAACAGTACCTGGGGGGTTGGCTGGGTTGGTTCCACCGAGGGCTGGAGAACCGCTGGCTGCGAGGGCCCAGGGAGCTGTGGGACAGGAACTGTTGTCGCCGCATTTGTCTGCATGGGACACACCAAAGGAGGCGGGTGAGTGGCTCCACCGGCCAGTCACTCGGGGGCAAACGCACAGCAGGGTGAGTGACGCGTCCCTGCCTCATCCCCTCGGGGGCAGGCCTGGGCCTACCTCTGCCGCTTCCTGGCCATCAAGCCTCCGGCGCTGGGCAATGTGGTGCTTCCCCCAGCACCCCTGGCCTTGCTGGAGCCACAGCTCCCCAGCACTGCCCTGCTCTCCTCGGGGAGGGGCCCAGATCACAGATCCCAAGGGGAGAACTGGTGACTTCTTCATCCTTCCCCCCACCCCAAGCTCATGTTAGGACTGTCCTTTTGAGGACTGAAGCTTCTCAGAGTTGTCTCTGCCTCTGCCAAGGCTCCTTGTCCCAGAAACCTAGCACCAGCCAGAGGACCCAGGGACTCAGAAAGAGTGCATGCTCACCAACCTCTGAGAAGGGGTTGAATTCAGCCAGGCCACCTTGCGGAGCATTGGTCAGCTGGGTCACAGAGGGATCCTGCAAAGGTAAAAACAAAACAAAAAACAGCCATGAGATGCCTGGGGAGAAGAGAGAACCTTGATGAAGGGGAGGGACAGCGCCATCTCTTAGCCCCTCCCAGGGATACCTGGCTGAAGGGAGTCTGCTGAGGCCCTCCCTGGGGCCCTGAAAAGCCTCTCGGGGCTCCTCTCAGAGGAGCCCAGCCCCTGCCACATCAGAGCTGTGGTCTCTTCTCCCTTTCTGGAAAAGGAGGAGAGTTCGGCCCCGATGACTTCTCAGAAGAGACCCAGAGCAAGCTTCCCACTGTGAGACCTCGGAATAGATACCACCCACGTCCTTGTTAGTGCCCTTTCCAGATTCAAAACGGTTCACAGGGGGCGCCTGGGTGGCTCAGTTGGTTAAGCGACTGCCTTCGGCTCAGGTCATGATCCTGGAGTCCCGGGAT